AATTCCTTATCAGACATTTCCATGATTTTCACCGAACTGCTTGTGGATGAAGAAGAGTTACTCTTTTCCCTTGGAGGAGAGGTATTTTCTCATTTTCCCATATTTCTCGTGATCCAGTGGTGATTTCTTGTCATCTGATGGATGGTGTGTTTCTTTCAAATTCTTGAAGTTCAGCCTGAATGTTCAGGAGCAAGCAGACAGAGGTGATCTAGAATCTCTTTGCCGTTCTGTTGTGATCGCTGGTGCAGCAGATTCAGTAGATATTGGGGAATGTTTTAACCCACTAGCTCGTTTGCTGGAGGTTGAATTATCAGTAGAAAATCTTCATTCCCTGAAATAGCTAGTTCGCTGGAGCCATGTGGAACCTTCTTCTCTTTTAACTTTATTTATTTTAATTTGACCAGAGAGGGACAGAATGTGTGGGGGAGTGAGATGGGGAGGGCGGTGGGAGTGAGAAAGCAAGCTGCCAGGTCCAGGACTTGAACCATGGTTAGCTAGATAGGAGTCAAGTGCCCCTAACCATCATGCCACCTGCCGGCTCCTGAGCTGGGGCTTTTGTTTTTTTAGGTTTCTGCTATAATGCACGTACCCTCACTGGAGAGAGACAGAGAAAGAGAAGGAAAGTGAGAAATCAGAAGGATGGGCATGCATGCACATGCCCGGCGTGATCCTCAAGCTGTAGGGTCTGGGATTCAAACCAGCTATGTGGTCAGCTATGTGGGAGTCCAGCACCTTAACCATTATGCCACTTGCTGACCCCAAGTTTTGTTATTGTAAAAGAAGTTTTCTTTCTTTTAAAAAAAAATTATGAAGATCAGCTTTTGAAAAATTTTGCAAAAGAAAGTGAATGAAATCCTGGGAAAAGTCCTGGGAAAAGATGCTGCGTTGCTCATGTTCTGAATTCATAGAGACTGTGGTGTCAGGGCAGAGTAGTTAGAAATTGCAGTTGATAGGAGAAGAGCGTGACAGCTGCAAAGAGCAATACAGGAACAAACTTGCATTCAGATTCTTTCCCCACTGTCGCTATAGGCTTCTTCCACCGTGACTTAAAGCCTGAGAACCTCCTCTGCATGGGACCAGAACTTGTGAAAATTGCAGACTTTGGATTGGCCCGAGAAATCCGATCAAGACCTCCGTACACAGACTATGTATCTACCAGATGGTGAGTACTATTTTTCTCAAAATTATGTAATTTCTCTTCTTTAAAAAGATGCCATTATATGGAGGGTAATATTAAAATCACAAACATTAACTTTTCACTGAAAGAAACAGTGCAGTTGAAACACATTTGTAGGTGTGTTGGCATAGTTCAGGTTAAAAGCTTGTGTTGTAAATAATTTTAAAAGGAAACCTGTTAGGTTTTCCCATATTTTATAAATGCGATTTTATATACAGGCCTTCCTAATGACAGTTTCCCAAGAGAATTATATAAAAGCTTCTTGAAAAGCGTGTCTGAAAAACCATCTAATTGATATTGTTAAGACTTTCTGACCAAGGAATTTGATTAGAGAAATTTGCCATGACCAAGAAATAGCCTATACACAGCTTTATGTTGTTTCTCTTCCTTCTTCTCTCTCTCTCTCTTTCTATTTCTTGAATAAGCTGTAGAAGACGCCAAAGGAAATGCTCACCAGTAAAAACTGTGAAATGAAACACTGCTTTCTGACAACAGCCACAGCACCTGCCAAGTCCTTACAAGTCCATGTGCCACTCTGAACTAGAGAAAAATAGAAGTCCATGACTGTCTCACTGACAATTGGTTGTTATTTCATTTTATTTCTGACCAGTGGAAGCCATAGCTAGTAGTTACCTTTTATCCCTTCAGGTACAGGGCTCCAGAAGTACTCCTGAGGTCCACCAACTACAGCTCCCCCATTGACGTCTGGGCCGTGGGCTGCATCATGGCAGAGGTGTACACCCTCAGGCCACTCTTCCCTGGGGCCAGTGAAATTGACACCATATTCAAAATTTGCCAAGTGTTGGGAACACCGAAAAAGGTAATGATACGGAGCAAAGGCCGGTGGGCCAAAGCCAGCAACTCCCCCGTCCCCTCTCCTCCGCCTTGTGTTGCACTGGCACGGTTGAACACCTGCTCATTCTAGAATCTTCCTCCCTACTTCAGCCATTATCCACTGCCCATGTTCTGAGACATGGCCAGCTTTCATTCCTCCTCTGCTGTTAGATGTGATATCTGTCATGGCTCTCTTTGCTTTTCTGTCTATCAGTGCACCGCCCCTTGTAGACCTTCTCTATTTTTATGGCTGCAACTTTTACAGCTATTCAGAAGCCTCTTAAATGTTATCTGTCACTCCTGCCTCCTTCTTTATGGCTCCATCACAAATTTACAACTCTTTATGGGATTTCTTCTGACCCTCTTATCATCACTTCAAACTCAACAGCTCTTTTTTTTTAGTTTGCCAGAAGGCATTTGCAGTCACTAGAGAGAGAATATGAAAAAGTACCTACCACAGGGCATGGCCACACCACGATCCCTTCTCCGTTTCTCCTTTCAGCATTTTTGGCACATACATGTGCCCAGTGTGTTTCTCAAGCTGTAGGGTCCAGGACTCAAACCATGTACTTGTCCATGTAGGATCCAGTCATTTTAGCCAGTTCAATGCTTCTGAAGTAGATTGTTTTTCATTTTCCACCCAACCAGCCTTTTCTATTCATTCCCCATTTCTGCCGGTGGTTCCATCGTAATCCTGCGGCTCCAACCTTGAGGCTGTTTCAACTGTACTTTCTCTCCTTCCCTGACTCCTCTTTCAAAAATTTATCTGAGCAGTTGGTCAGTAAATCCTGTGAACTATAACTGCATAATACAAGGAAACTCCAGAACACTTTAGAAAACAGAATTAAAGTGTGTTTATTTTGGAGCAAACATTTTTCAAATCCAAGCATAGACTTCCCTAACACACATTGCTATGAACTTGCTGAAGACCCCACGTGTGCCTGACGTGGCCCTCCTCCTTTCACATTCTCCACTGCCATCACGGAATGGGCCCTGCCCTCCATGCCTGAGAGGATCTTCCCAGTCTCTGCCATCCAGTCTTTTCC